TAAGCCCAAATTTTCAGCATAAGCATTTGTATTGGGCTTCGGCCAGCTGAAGCAGATTGGCTTGGGCTTGGGTTTCGTTTTCTAAAACATCACATCGACATACACACGTATATGTATATATATATATATATATATATCCCATTTTAAAACATCACATCCACATACACACATGTATACATACATACATGCCATATAGCTCTATAAACACACTTGTAAAGAATGTTTGAGGCCCATATATTTTTTGAATTAAAAAGTTTGAGCCCAACTCTTACCTCATTTGAAAGCAAGTATATACATACATACGTATGTGTGTGTGTGTATATATGTATGTATATTATTGGGTCAATTTTTTTAAAAAAAATTTTAAATAGAAAGAAAGATCAAAAGAGGCAGAAACCAACAATTAAGTGGATAGAAACGACCAAATTCCAATTGGATAACAATATTTTATGCAACTTAAAACACCCATGGTTCACCTTCCATAACCAAATTGGGTGAACCAAACAGTAGCATTATTATAACCTAAACTCTTCTAACATGTTTCATGTATAATTAATTATTATAATCTCAATCAATCATTATTTAACTAAATAATTATTATAATAAGTTATGAATATCATTATTTCAATAACTTATTGTAATTAGACTACTAATATTAAATATTTTAAGTTCAAATTTTATCTGTAAATAGTGTTTGATTTGAATTATTAAATAGAATTTAATAATTTTGTAATTTGAAATTTGGATATCATAGTATTCATAAATTTAATTTTTGATATCTTCATTGGTACTACTATGATAATAAACAAATCATAAATCTAAATAGCCATAAAGTTGAATGCATATAATTTTTCGAGTTAAAAAAACTATGAATTCAGCAAATTTTGGAGTGACTTAATTTATTAACAAAAATAAAATAAAATAATTTAAAAGAATGACTTTAATCTTTATACAGAAATAAACATTTCAAGTCTTATATTATATGAAAAATTTAAAGTTATTAGAGGCTTGACTATGAAATTTATATTTAATTTAATTTAAAAATATAAAATGTTTCAAAAATAATAAAATATAATTTCAGCTTTTTATGTTAATTTTTAAGTGGAATTAAACTAATGCACATCACAAGATTTATCAAGGTTAGTAAAACTCATGATATATTTTTTAATTTTATATAAAATTTTATACGATATAAGTTTTTTCATTAATATGGTAACTTAATATAAAATTTTATACAATTCAAAATTTCAAGTTTTATTATTTTCTCTTACCTAAACTGAGCATATTAAATTATTTTTATAAGTTCACAACCGGGGCATTAGATAACAATTTTTTATAACATTAATTTCATCGAAGGTCAATTAGACGAAAGGTACGTGGAGTCATCCAATTGGATATAAAATATTAAAAGATATAAAATAAAATAAAATATAAACGTCGGCAAAATAAAAAATAAAAAAATTAATATGTAGAAGACCCAATTTAAAAAAGAGATTTTGGTCAACAAATTAAGCGGTCTGATTTATGCAAATCCCGACAGTTTCGACCAATTCGTGGCCCATCCTCTCCTGCTTTATCACTAATTATATAATAGATATTATTTTGTAGAAATAAAATTATGTAAACAATAATGAAAATATAAAAATTATCATATATTAAAGAAAATTTACATAATAAATGAAGTGTTGGTTAAAAATAAATTATCAAGAGTTTATACAATGCATAATTTTAAAATTTTTCTACACTATAATATTAGAATTTGCAGCAAATTAATAATTAATCATGTAGTAATACTACTACACTCATATTTTATTATTACATTCAATCAATAGATAATTATTATTAATATTGTAACATGAGTTTTATTTTTAATATGTTTAAAATTATGTTTACATTAAAAATTTTAATAATTATGATATATGATCATAATAAATATAAAAAAAATTATACTAGAAATTTACTAAAACTTGTTTGATTCAATTTAAATTTTAAT